TTGGCCAGAATAATTATCCTACAAAATTTTATTATGGATATGTACCCCTATTACATAATAACTTTATTTTGTTCAGATATGTAGTAGTTAAAAATAAATTGCAGGGACGATTTTAAGAGTTTGGGTGTCCGGAATATCTCACGGCCAAAGCATATGAAATTTCATGTGACTCAAAATTCTGACACTTATTTGAGTCACATAGCACACATCATGATGTGACTATGGTGTTACCATGTGACCTGGCCATTCAGGAGTTATCATCGTCAATTTCAGCCAAGATTTAGGATAAAAATTATTTCTGGGTTGAATTTTTCTCTAATTATTTTAGCGGGCAAATTTGCCTGCTAAAATGAACGGTTTAAGGGATATTGGGTGCATGATAAAATTTACAAAATTAATTATCAGGTACTTAATAATAATTAATCATATCAGGTATCCGATATGTTTATTCTTTTTCAATAGGTATCTGATAGGTATCTAATATTGTAAATATATTAGATACCCAATAGGTAACTGATAAATGTCTGATATTTGAATTTTGACCTGTGTTATTTACTTTTGTTTTTAATTATTCTAAATTCAAATTTTTCTACTTTCTTTATTCCTATAGAATAGATTAATTCTTCTAGTTAATATTTATACTTTCAAAATTCCTGATAACTATTAGACTAAATTTAAATACTTTTCTTGTATTTGCTCTTACTCTTCTAATAAATAATATCAATGTAACAAGTTAATAAATTAACAAATTGATATTAAAATTAAATAAGATATTTATTAAAAGATAAATAATGAAATAAATATAAAATACAAGATATAAAAAATAAAGATTAAGTATTAAGAAATTATAAAATAAATATAAGAAGATATATTATCATAATGATTACTTTGGATTTTTAAACCTGTCCTGTTCTCAAAGATCAAGAGAATTCATATTTATATTTCTTTAATTTACTGTACTATGTGATTTGCTAATTTACAGTTATACTAATTTTAACAGGAAATAATTAATCTGATAATTTACCTGTTATATACAATAGATAATTATCTAAGTAATTCACCTGGTAATTCATTTGAATAAATTATTTGTTACAAATATATGATCTATTTAAATTTATTAATTATATTTAACTAATAAATAAATATATAAAAAAATAAAAATAAATAAAGATAATAAAAGATAATAAGATAATAAAATTAAATTTCACAACAAATATAAAATATTCAAATAATATATTAGAATATTGTATTCTAGTATATTAGTATCATTTTAAAAATACCATATAAACAGTGTTCATATATTGTTGTAGAATATTTTTATTTAATTACTAATGAAATGATTATTATTTTTTTAATTTAATTTTAGAAATTTATTCATTATTTATTTAAATATTGAATTTTTTTTTATTAATTATTTTACTATTTTTTTAGATAAGAAAGTTATTATGATAATCTAATTAAATACATTTAAATTATATAATAATTTTTATTATTTTTAAATAAAAAATTATAAATTTGAAATTTTTATTAAAAAAAAATAAAAAAATTAAACTAATAGAATTAAAACTTGAAATTTATAAATTATTTTATTAGTTTATTTTTTTTTAAAAAAAGTTATAACATTTTAAAATTATATATTTATTATAATTTATAGGTGAAATATACTTCAAACAGGTTAAGTTGACTCAAGTTAATCTATATGATTTAATTTGAAAGTATGAATTAGACTGAATTAATGTTAATAATTTTTAAATTCAAAAGTTAATTAGAATTTATTGATATTATTCAATCTCAAAACTACAGTTTTAAGAATATTTAGCATATTAACAAAAGTTATTTTTTATATAATTTTATATATATATTTAATTAGTATTGTAACTGTAATTTTGTATTAGTTTTAAGAAGGTTTAATATATTAATAAAAATTATTCTTTATATAATTCAAAAGTAATTTTTATATTAGCTTTTGAAATATTTAATAATAAAAATATTTTATATAATATTTTACAATATTAGAAATATTAGACTAATATTAATATTATTATTTTATATTTTAATAAAAATTATTTTTTAAAAAAAGTTATTGTTACTGATTTAAAAGTTATGCTTATTAATTTGAAAGTCAAAATTATATAATTTAAGATTAAAGTTATATTTTTTTATTTGATTTAGGAATTAGAATTGTATTTTCAAACTTGAGTTGATTCAAATTAATTTGACCTATTAGATATACTAAATACTATAATAAATATCAGGAAATTTTAAAAGTAAATATATCTAGATAAATTTGCTCACTCACATATTTATTCACATAAATCACATTAATCTCATTAAGGGTAGATTATAAAGCTATATTATTTATACATCTAATTTTTTATGAAATATTTTTATGTAACACAAAACTGATCTTAATTTCAGCTGAAATTATGAATTATAAAATTATAAATTTAAGCCAAAATAGTATAATACAAAACTATGAAATAAAATTTTATTTGATAAAATAATATCAACTTTGTATATTAACATTTGCTTGAGTATCTTGTATTATACCAATTACAATGATATTATTGGATAATCCCACATTACCTTCATTTGGTCTTTGCAATATAATATTTTTTGAACTAAATCACGAACTTCATCAGGAAATTTTTGGAGGTGAATATACCTGAATATATTTGTTCATTTACACATTTATTTGCATAAATTATATTAATTCACATTAATTCATATTTATTTATATTAATTCATATGTTATACCAAATATATCTATACATATTTATAAATATATTCACATATATTTGATTTTTATTAATTACAAATATATCTGCAAGTAAATTTTTTCTGATGAATAATTTTTATAAGATTATTTTTTTAATTATTTTTTATAATATTATTATAAATTTAAAAAATTAAAAATGTTTAGATTTAATTTAAATTTATTTAAAAAATAAAATTGTATTCCTAATCTAATTTGAGAATTAAAATTACACTTTAAATTTAATTTAGAAGTTTAAATTACCTTGGTCATAATTGTAGATTAATTAGATTTAATTTAATTTAACTTGTTAAAAATATTAATAATAAGTTTATATAATTTTATTAATATAAAAAATTTTCAATTTATTTAATTTATGAATAAAATATCCTATTCAATTTGTACAATAATTATATTTTCTAATTTTGTTTATTGAATCAGTATTATTTTTTCTCAAATTCAAAAAGTAATATAATATAATATTATTCAACATTATATTTAGTAAATTTTTTATATATTTCATCAATGAAATTCAAATTTTCTTTTAATTTTTGTTGTTTTTTTATATTGAACTTTTTTCTGTAACAACTTGTTTCATAATTTGTAAAAACAGTAAATTTTTCGAAATTATTCTTTTCCTATTTAACTGCTAATTCTAAGGAGAATAATTGGTTGAGAATATTTTGACTGTTGGATTAATGAAAGTATTCCTTTTTTGATTCTTGTTTATTTGAAAACTTGGTTTTCATTTCTAATTTCAAATAATATAAAAATGAGAATTTTTTTAATTTTGATCTTTGAAAATAACAATTATAATTTAATTTATTTAACAATGACTCTGCTTCATGAATAGATTCTGTGTCAAATACTTTCAGATGAAAAACTCTAGCTTTCTTCCAATATTTGAAATAGATAATAATTGATTCATATTTGTTTTTCTTGTTTTGATATTTGATTTTGAATCCTTCTTCTAAGTAACAAAGTTGATCTCATCTCATTATCTCAAAAATCATAAAGTGTCTTCAAAACCCACTTGTTTTTATCTTAAATTTAGATACTCAACTTTAAAGGTTTTCTTGTCCCAAAGAATTTCTTCTTTTATACAACCGATAGTACTTGGTTATAAGTTCACCTTGTTGTTCCAAATATACATATTGTCCAAATTAATTTTAACATAATAAAATAATTTGAAATGTGGGATTTGGGATTTTGAAAAATAATTTGGGTAAAATGTATAGTTCCAAACTACTTCATCAAGGTTTCTCTCTGTTTAAGAGTCTTATTCTTTTTGTTTTTTGCTTTTCCTTGTTATTCTTATCATCTTTTATTTTTTTTTCCCTTGGGCTTACTATTATTTTCTTCTTTTTTTTTTGCTAAACACATTCAATTATTCTTTGCCAAAAAGTAGTTACAGACTGTGTGGAGAACATCTGCAAGTTCTCTTGTTGAGTCTTACTCTTCAACACTTTGACTGAAAACCAAGTTTCTTTGGAGAAGAATTATTCGACATCGTGAAGTTGATAAAATCGAAATCTTCTTCCACCTGCATCCCACCTCCCGAGACTACTTTATAAAATTCCAAAACTTGTAATTTAAAGGCAGGAAATAAAAACAGATTTGAATTGGTTACTGGCAATTCTTATACACAATTTGAGCACGTCCGCGTATTCACGTGAGCACGTTGAATTAATTTTGGTAGTACGAAATGTTTACTTTTAAAGGCTTTATCATTATGAACATTCATCGTATTACACGTCTTTAAAGAAAAATTTTTACAAATTTTAACCTCAGTGATTTCTACAAGATTTATTTTTTGATTAATTTCTCTTTTTTTTTACTGATGCAAAAAAAGGGAATAGAAAAAGAAATCGAGAAAACCAAATATACAGAAAAATAAACAAGTAATTAAAAAACTTATAATTGTACGGTATTAAAAGTTCATTTCATGAATTTGGGATTTTGACTCGTTTTTAAAAACAAATATAATCCCTTTTATGACTTAAAAAAAAAAAAATTCTAAAGAAAATAAAATGATTTATGCTTTGTTTGTATGGATAAATTTTCCAATGTCCTTCATGAAAAATATATGAATTATGCGAAAAATATCACGAATTACAATAAGCCCTTCACATAGAAAGATTATATAAAATGAAGGATGATAATAAATTTGTGAAATGAAAAAAGGTTCATTGAAAAATTTGCCAGGATCACATCCAAACTATTATTATTATGCCAATTTATTATGCTAATTTATTAATTGAGGGTCAAAAGAAGAAGAAAATGAATCCCTCCTTTCAGGTGAGAAGATGTCCCTCAGGGAATCTCTTCTTTCTGAAGCCAAAAAGGAATCCCTACGTTCCAGATTAAACCTTTCGGTGTGAGGAAAAGAAGGTCCAGAACTACTTCCTAAACTAAAAGTAGAATCCCGTCTTTCCAAACTAAATGAATCCCTGCGATGATCGGTAAGACTATAGGTGCTATCTCGCCTCTCCAAACTAAAGGTAGAATCTCTACGATCAGTCAAACTAAAGGTAGAACCTCTCCTTTCTCCATTAAAACCATTGAGACCATTTCCATTATTGCTGCTCCGTACTCCTAATGGATTCTTTGAGAAACTTAAGCGAATCCCACCTTTAACAGAATTACTGAGAAGGTTACCGTAAAGTTCATTCATTGCCTGTGTAGCGTAATGAACATCCTCAAATTCAACAAAACACATAGGTCCATTTTGTTTAGTACGAAAACACATTCGTTTATAACCGGGGCAACGAGAGAACATTTGTTTAAGTTCTTCTTCAGATGTGTTCATTGGTAAATTGCCAACATAAAGAGTGTTACATGGTGGATTTTGATCAGCTGGGTTAGGAGGACGAAATCCTGGTGAGGAAATTGATGGGGATGATGACATAACTGATGGAGGAACAGAAGTATTAATGGATAGTTGAGACATTGAATGTGGCAAGTCTTCACTAACTAACAAAGCAGCATTAAATCCATTTGACGAGTTTTTTGCAGCTTTCGAAACTATTTCAACAGGATTAGATTTTGAAAGATAGTTCAATTCATCAACATTATCGAAGAACCCTTTAGGACCATATCGAACACCATTGTTAAGAGGGCGTGATTGAACACCGACTAAACCACCGATGGCACCATTAGTTGCATCAAAGGAACCACGAGCAGAAGAGAATGGAGGTTGGTCGGGGAAAACGGGAGTTGTAGGGGTTGTTGGGGTGTAAACACTATCTGAATAAATATCATTATAGATATAGTCAGGAGAAAACAAATCGCTAGGGAGTGGGGGAGGAGCAAATGGAGGTACTGAATGAAAGGCGTCATAAGTAGCATTAGCGGTATTAATGTTGTTTGGAGTTGAAAATCGTTTATTTTGAGGAATAAGAGGGAATGCGGCGTTATTTTGTTCATTAGAAAGACCCCGCTTAGTATGCAGGTTCTTTTTTGCCATTTCAGCTTTGAGAACAGACCCCTTTTCGGCGTCTACTTTCCTTCCACTGAGAATGTCACGGGCTTCAAGGGCTTCGAGCCTGCTACGAAACTTTGCGAAACCGATCTATAAAAATTATAAAAAATGAATAATTGAATTTTTTTTGTGTATTAATAATAATCATTAATAGGAAGCAATATACTTATTATACAAAAGAACTTAAAACATAAAATAATGTAAAAAAAAAAAAAAAAATGCACCCAAAATGACACAGGTATAGATATAATACATACAATTTGTTTCCTTGCATTGTTACCATTGACCATTCCACTGCTTGCTCCACTTCCAATACCGTTACTACCGTTCGCAGACCCATCATCATCTGAACAATCCTTTTGTGGGATCTTCAAGGTGGCAGCTTCAAAACCAGGTGAAAAGATGAACATATTCTGGAACTCCCGCTCTTGCATGTCGTCGGGAAAGCCGACGACAAATATTGTAGATATCTCTTCGATCATGATGAAATTGAATGCGATAATGAAGTGTAGGACGTTGGTAATTGAATATTGAAGCGAAAAAAAAGAATATATACAAAAAAAGAATATGCAAAAAGATGAATGGAACAAGTTAAGGGAGAAAATATAATATGCAGGGATGTTGATAGCCAATGCTCTGAAGGCAAACAACAATTCTACTTAGAAATGCTGAATATGAAATAAATGAATCTTTTCGAGAGAATTTTTTTGAATATGCTTCGAATGTATAACAATTAAAGATGTAGAGTCAAAAAGAGCCAGAAAATATTGTGAAAGAATTTCGGAAACAAATGGTGTGTAAAATGGGTTTAAAAAAAAAAATTATCGAAATGGTAAAATTTTTATTAGATGCTAAATTCTATTTATTGAATAATAATATTTTTTTTTGTTACTTGAATAATGGATAAGAATTGTTGCTATGTACAATAAGGCATATATGCAAATGTAGTGTATGTTGCAGCTTAGGGAGGGATGAACAAGAAGACAGCGGAGAGATCAATACACTTTGCTGACGCTGACAACTGTGAAATTGTTTAGAAATTACGGCAAGAAAAATGATGCAAAAAAGTTAGCCGTGGTAAAAAAAACTGTCTCAATAATGCCTACAAACATTTAAGGATCACCAATAGTAAAGAATTATTTGCTATATAAATAAATAAGAATTCCCAACCTTGGTGCAATGACGCGAAAAAATTGAAAGACCTGTATTACGTGATGAGCGAACAACAATGGAGCCAGGAGAGTAAAAGAGTTCGCGGCCTTTTTATTGCGGATATTAACGAAGTTTTGACCAATTTTACAATATGGAGGATGCAGTATGTATAATATGTATAAAAGTCAAAAAAGGGGAACGATTCGATTTAAGGGTGGATTACTGTAAAAAAAGGGGATGGAAACGTTTTTAAAAAAAAAAAAATTATTAATCATCAAGCTTCTAAATATCACTGATAATAACTTAATAACTTTATACCTTTTATGGTATTGATATCACTATTCCAGAAACATGATTAAATGCGAAATTTCAGGGGTTAAAATTGTTGCACCCGAAAGTTTATTTATTTACTCAATGCTATTTTTTAGAACACTATTTTCACTATTTATTTATTTATAAAGTAGAAATTCTAAAAATATAAGTTTAATTTTTCCTTTAATATTTACTTTCACTTCTCTCTTTATTCTTTTCCTTTGGGAAAGGTTATTAATTTAATTTGGATATGGTATCAATCGATGTATCAATTATTTTTGATAATTATCAATAAATATCAATGATTATATGAATACCTTCTTTTAAAAACATCTTTGGTCAAGCAGGTTTTGTTCCGGAAACAGAATTAGAACAAATCATTTTCTTCATTCGTGTGGAATAAATAAGTTTGTGTAGTTGCATGTCAATCTCCAGAAATATCATTATTAAAAAAAAAATTGTCTATCATTAAATACTATCAAGATTTTAAGAAAATATGGCTTAGTACTCCACAAAAAAAGCCATTAATGTTTGATATTTGAAAGTCTTCTTCAATACTTTTGATTCGATAATTTACTATTAAAAAAAAAAAATCATATTTATTTATTTATTTATTTATTTTTTTGCAAAGATCACAGAGATCAATAAAAATAAAAAATATTTATTTATTTCAAATAAACCTTATTCAGAAGAAATTACATATATGTAAATTATATGTAAATCTAAGTATCAGATAAACCCTTGACTATTTTTCTTTTTTCTTTACAGGAATGATATTCAGGGTGACACTTGTCCCTAAATATCATTAGAATATCAACCAAATATTATCATTTAGTATCTTAATAACATCCAATATCATATCACTATTATCATATTATCACCAGTTGGTAATACCCTATAACATATATCATGTGATAACATAATTAAAAATAAATTTCTCAGTTTGCAAATGTTAATTAAATATTCTCAAAATAAAAAAATATATATATATATATTTTATCTAAAAAGAAATAATAAAATTTGACAGTTCTATCTATAAAGTACTAACTAATTTTATATTTTCATATATATATATATATTGCATATGTTAGCTTTCACCATAATTATAAAGTTAAAGTAATTACTTTGATTGTATTCCTTTATTACTTGAACAATGGAAATGTAATTGAGTGAATGATCTCGTAATATTATTATAATAAATATAATATAATATATACTACTTAAAGTTAATGATTTACCATTTAAATTTAATTAAATTCAAAACAATCAAACTTCAATTATATAATAAATATGTTTATTATATATAGGATAAGCCGAAGTGGTTTTATTTATGAATATATATAGAAAAATAAAGTATTTAATATCACAATAAAATGAAAGACACATACGCTCCACTAAATCGGCTAGAATATATGTAAATCAACTTCTTTCTTATAAATGTTCCATTAGAACATTAATTTTAATAAACAATTTGTCTTTGAAACTTATGTTGCTATGACAAGTCCATTCCATTCTCAACGTTTACTCCTGTTGATGGATTTTTTCCGGGTGTGGGTCCCTTGAAAATTCAAAAAAATTTTTCATTATTATTTTTTTTTTTTTCAATAAACCGAATAATTATGTTACAAATTCAAAAAATTCCTTATTAATTATAACTTACGTCATCAATGGCCATATAAGCATCCAAATCAGCGTCTAAATCATCGTATGTGACAGGTTTTCGATTTGACAATTTCCGTCGATTATCGGAAACATTCCTGCCACGTCCTCGAGACGCTGTTGCGTTATCGTTAGCGTTATCGTTATCGTTATTGTTAGTCGTACTTCGTCCAAGTCTTGAGCGAATGTTACCGCGAGATAATTGCTTTCTGTGTGATAAATGCAGTATTTCCGGTTATAAAAATAGAAAATATACGTAAAGAATAAAAAATATTGGCCAAGTCAAATTAAGAAGAGGCCGAAGCTCATATCGTATTGACTACCCAAGGATGAAAACGATAAGTGAAACAAGCCACTTGCGTCGCACGTTTATACTAAGTTCAAGATGGAAATTCTTTTCAATATAGTTTTCTAATTTTTTTTCAATTTTCTCACGGTAGGGAATTCTCATAGATTTCGTTGGCCATCGGTTAATCTTTAAGTTATTAATGAAACGTACACTAAACCACCGCGTGCTCCGCCTAGGCGATCCAAGACAGAAGCGCCTTCGGATGAACCACGCACATCACTTGTTACTCTTTGAACGGGTTTAAATGGTGCGTATTTAATTTTCATTTGAAGTCCTTTAAAATTAAATAAAAATAATAAACATAATTAATATTATTTTTTTAAAAGTTAAACTATCAACATTAGAATTATATAACAAGAACTACCTTCAAGAGTTTTCCCATTATATCTTCTTAGAGCCGTTTCGGCGTCATGAGAATTTTCAAAAGTAACATCTGCAACGCCAGTACTTCGTCCAGCACGGTCATAATGCAAATAGACTTTTTTCACAGGTCCACACTCGGAAAATAAATCCTGTCATATTAAATATATTTAGATACATTGTGCGGGTTGAATTTAAACAAAAATTACAATTTTTGCTCTGTATTATCTACAAACCTGAATTTCATCTTGAGTAACTTCATAGAATAAATTTTCAATCACGAGTTTAGAATTACCAGAAGAATTTGATGAAACTCGTCGAATATTTGCAACGTTAGACCGGCGATTATTATTGGAACGTCCGTCGTCGTAGAGATCATGAGACCATTTTCCATTGATATCGCCTCTTGAGGGACGCTAATATGTAGATCAATAAATTCTCAGTACCGTCCGTCAATCAAACTGAAATCGCTTTATCTTCCGGATAAGTCGAGCTAGAACAACTAAATATGAAACTTTAATACGTTACCTGTCGTTCGTAAGGAGCATTTCTAAAACGAGCATTTCTGTTGTTTGATGCACTGCCCAATTGTGAAGTTGAAACGCGTCCTCCTCTACGAGGTGGTCCAGAATTTCTGTTCTTTCCTTTTTTACTTGTATTAGCATATTCATCAAGAGCCATGTTTAATGCGCCACTCATTATAAATAAGAAAATAGAGCGATCTCAAACGTAAAATAATTTCAGAAAGGTTACAGTAAAATTGTTGCTAAGAAATATATATATATATTCGATTAATGTAATTAAAACAAAAAAAACTAAATGATAATATGATATCATATGGCTGATTTGACTTTTCTTAAAATCACCTGAACCATTTAAGGCTAAACATATACCAAATTAGGTATTACATGTTGTTCGTGATTTATGGGTATTAATTCAAATCACGGTTTATCATGTGATTTTGTAATGCTAATTTAGCAATTGAGCAATTTGATAGGAATAGCTTTGTTCAAACTCAAAAAAAAACTCAAAAAAGTCTAGTGTGCTTCAAGAATTAATTTTAAATCATAAAGGTTTCGAAAAATATATTACATATGATGTCTGCAGGTTTAGACATGTCTCTTGATGAAATTATTGCGAAAAGAAAGCCGAGAGGACCTATCAGGAATGGGGGAGGACCTACACGTTCTAGTGGGATCTCAAAACGGTCAGGGGGTCCTGTTAGAAATACACGATCATCACAAACAAGAAATCGGCCATATACCGGGACTTCCACAGCGACATCGAATATTGCTACCTCACCTGAAGGAAAAATTCTTGTTTCAAACCTCGCCTATAAAGTGTCCGAGGCGGATCTTTGGGTAATTATTTAATTTGCCAAAAATTTCATACAAGCCTTTATCGGTTGTGCTACAGACAGACTGTTGAAAATACAAGAGAGGCGAATATTTTCTTTCTTTGGTGCCAAAGCTGTGGTTTACCGTCTACATATAAACCTGAAGCGAAAAGGCGACCTTTGTACGAAAATTTTATTTTATCGTCAACGTCCCTTCTTCGCCCTGCGGCTTTGGGACCTGGAAAATCAGAAGCCTTTTATTACAACACTCTCCAAACCGATCTACCTTGTTGCTCCTACTGAAAATAATCCACCTGATCGCAAAACAAACTCTCCTCCATATACACGCAATTCGACACCCTTACCTCTTTTCAACATCAGGAACTCTTCCAAACGATGATCGGCCCTGTACGTCAAGTCAATCTCAATTTTGACCAAAGTGGACGTTCGAAGGGCACCGCATCCGTAGTTTTTGCGAGAAAAAATGACGCTGTTCGATCTGTCGAAAAGCTCCGTAACATTACTCTTGACGGTTAGTATTATTTAATCTAGTTTCAGTATTTTGAATTATTTTCATCAGAGAAAGGTGATGAGAAATCTTTAATATTTTAATTTTTTATTTATATAGGCCGCGAATTGAAAATTGAATTTGTCGTTACTCCTAATGTTGGACCCATTGCTCAACGTATTGGTGGTATCAATGAGTAAGTTGGATAGATTTTTTTTGCTTTTATTCTTAAAAAGGTAGATGCAACAAACATCAAATCACTTTTTATACAGATCTCGTCCTCCTACGCGCGGTACTGGCCCCCCACGTGGAGGTTCGGTACGGGGCGGTCGCGGAGGCCGTGGAGCCCGTAGGACAGATAATAGACCGAAAAAAACTCAAGAAGAATTAGATGCAGAAATGAGTGAATACATGCAAATTGACGAGGTATATATTCGTCCTTTCATTATTGATTACATCTTTCATTTTATGAAATCTAGACTTATTTATCTGTCCGGAAATAGGATTCATCTCAGGCAGCTGACTCTACTAATGCTCAACTGACTCAGTGAAGGAAAAAGCAACGTACTGGACAACGTGCTTTCTGCATTTTTTTGAAGTTCATCCGTTAAACTGTTCTCGATATATTTGATTTAATTTCTTATTATATAATACATTTCTTGTCCGAACTTTAATTGGTTTTATATTTAGTATTGGTACTACTATTTGTAGTTTTTTTTTTTCTTTATTGATCAAGAATCCGATATAAACATATATAATTTTATTATATTTTGAATGTATTATATAGGTGTCAGGTTTTTTTTATTCCATTTCTCAATGCAAGTGAATGCAAACGAGTAGATTTATCTGGGACATAATTATATGCGCAAAAGATAAAGAACTTTATTGAAAAATCTAAAGCCTTACTTTTGTATAAGATAGATCTTATTATTTAAATTGTCAAATTATTTAAATCAAGATATGCATCTGAGCTCTTATAAAAATTGTTAATATTTTCAAATAATCTTGAGTCCATAAAGTATTGAAAATAAATTTTGTAATCAAAATCAGTATGTTTTGTGACAATTCTTTAAGATACATTTTTAAAAAACTGTTTGTGATGATAATCTTTTTGATGTTTTTTTTATTTCTATTCTATATATTATATTATATTATACAATTTTCTTTTAAATTAAATTGCTAATAGTGTTTTGTTAGTGGACAAGTTCTATTTTCAAAAAGGAAATTACAACATTGTTATGATTTATTAATTATTTTTTTTTAATCACGCAATTTTTTTTGGTGAATATGGCAAAGAACTTTTGCAAATAAGCAAGAATACTTTGTGAATGATTTGTGAGAACTTATAAATAGGTTGTAATATAAGTTAAATGAGAAAAAACATAATTTTTTGATAAGTTATGACAAGAAATATTTGTAAATAGTCAAGAATATTATTGAATAGATAGTATTAAAAATTTTGTCAATTTATTGAATTATTTAATACTAAAATTAATGATGCCAAGAATAATATGCAAATAAGTTAATCCAATTTGCTTCAAAAATTTTGCTTATCTTGATCATATAAAATGTATAACATATGTGAATAGAATTTCTTATTTTGTATTTGTCTTCTAACATAAATTATATTTATAAATATTTTAATAAAATTTTAAATTTTAATTTTGATTTTATTTATTTATTTTATGTATAAATAATATATTTTTTATTAACTTTATTATGAATTTTTTTAAAATTACTAAACAACTTTTGAGTAATAAATTTTTAATTCTTGGTTCAAATATTTTTATAATAAATTTTTCTGAAGGTTTTTTAAAATTCTATATGTTTTTAATATAAAAAAAATATTTATCTTTATCAAGGAATTTTTAAAACCAAATATATCTGATATATTTGAAATGTAATATATCTGGCTACTTATGTATCACTAGTCAAATACAAAAAAATCACTATACCAAATTTCTATATTATAGATCAGCTAAAAATCAATAACAATCAACTGTCTTATTGCATTTTATATTATAAATTAGCTAAAATTGAAATTCCTTTTTGGTACAGCATATCTTTTATATTTGACCTGTGCATTTATCTACATTAAATATTTACATATATTTATATATTATATAAATTTATTTGTAAATATATTCACATATATCCATATAATTTGAATTTATTCAAATACAGTCTAGCCTCTCTATAATCACACCCTATATAATCATATCTATATGTAATCACCCTATCTTCTAGAACTAACCAATTTTCTAATTAAAAGTATTTTATATAATCACAATCTGTCTATAATCACTATTACCAATTTTTTAGATCCGGTACTTATTAATATTCCTCCTTTATAATTACCGATCATATGATGTAAATCAGTAGACTAAATTTCATTAGATGTCAATTTTTTTTCCTAAAAATTAATTAAAAAATTTGATATTAATATTATTTAATTAATTTAAAAAAATCCGATGTTAACATGAAATAAATAAATTATATGTGAATATATGTATTTTATTTTTTTAAAAAATATAAAAAATAATTTATTCATCTGTTTTTTCTTACTTGCCTTAGTTTCTTTACTTCATTAAAGTCATGAGTGAATTCTTCTTTTCTTGAAATTAGTGAAATCGAACGTATAGATATATTAAATATAAGTATTTTTTTTTAATTTTAATTTTATTAAAAAAAATAATAAATTATTTACTTATATTTTATTTGTCTCTTTCTTTTACTTTTTGAAGTTGTGATTATAGATTTCTTTCTTTGAAATCAGTAGAATTGTTACAAATGTATTTGATGTAAGTATTTTTTTTTATTTTTATTAAAAAATATAAATTATAATTTATTTACTTTTTTTTTTTACTTGCCTTTAATTCTTATTTGCTATCTTTTTTTTATTTTCATAAAGTTATAAGTAGATTATTCTTTTTTTGAAATCAAGTTGAATTATTATAATTGACCATTATATTTTATATATTATATTATATTTTTTTATTACAATTTTTTTTTGCTATAACTAATTTCATTATACCGAAATCAAATAAAATTAAATACAAATTTTAAATCTTTAATTTAAAAATTATTATTGATGATCTTATTTCTATCATGGATTTATTAGATAATCTCAAAATTCCATTAAATTTTTTATTTTATCTAGATCTAAAATCAATTATCCATTCATATACCATGTCCCTTTCTAAAAAAAAAAAAACTGAAACAAACGAAGTGCAATAAATGATTCTCAACGTATTGAAATATGTCAATATGCAGTACAATATTCTTCAACATGACATAATGATATTACAGCTTTTTTTAGTTCAAAATATAATCTTAATATTGAAAGGTCTACCATTACAAAAATCTTATTACAACAAAAGAAGTGGTTTTTGTCTGATGTATCTTTAATTGTTAAATACCGTGATATAAAGTTTCTTTTACTTGAAAAAATTCTTTTACATTGAACAAATCAAGCTATTACAGGTGGTATGATACTTTCTGATAATATTCTTCAAGAAAAAGTAAGAGATTTTGTAAATTATCTTAATATTGAAGAAGATCAGATTAATTTTTCCAGAGGATGGATAACAGGATTTAAAAAAAGAAATTCTATTTGTATGTATAAATTACATGGTGAAGCTGATTCTGTTTCTCTGAAATCATTAGTTAATGAATATTTAAAATTACAAGAATTAATATTAAAATATAATCCAGAAGATATTTACAATACTGATGAAACAGGTCTTTTTTTTAGAATGGCACCTAATCAAACTTTAGCTAATCAATCAAGAGCAGGAAAAAAATTAGTAAGTAATTTAATAAAAGTATTAACTATTTTTTTAAAATTATTAATTAATATTAATTAAATAATTGTTTATTTATTTAAGGATAAATCTAGAATTACAGTTTTATTTACTACAAATGCTACTGGAACACATAAATTAAAACCATTAGTAATTGGTCATACAAAAAATTCTAAATATTTTAAAAATATTAATGTTTTAAATTTATCATAATGTATAAATATAATAGTAAGACTTGGATGCATAGTGATATTTAGGAAACATGGTTAAAATATCATAACAAAGGATTTCAAATTTAAAATCATCAAGTTTTCCTTTTAGTTGACAATGTACCTTCTCACATCAGTCCTATTACAAATGAAAATAATATTGATGAAAGTGACTCAGATACAAATTCAATTCAAGAATCATCAAAATCAAGTAACAAATGACACTGGTCGAAAATTAATAAAACATATACATATCGGGTACCCGATATGTGCATGGTGTGTCCTTAATATCGGGCATATATCGGGTATCCGATAAGTGTAGAAAATATTTTATATATATATCGAGTACCCGATAAGTGTAAAAAAATATTTTCTACACTTATTGGGTACCCGATATATGCCCAATATTAGGGACACACCATGCATATATCGGGTACCCAATATGTATATGTTTTATCAATTTTTGATCAGTGTGACAAAAGACATTATCAAAAAAAAATAAAAAACAATTTGAAAATAATGAATCACTTAATTTAACTAATATTCAATTCATTATCTTCCTCCTAATACAACATTTCATATTCAACCACTTGATGTAAGAATTATTAAAAGTTTTAAGGTAAAATATAAACATTATTATTGTCGACATGTATTAGATCAATTTGAGCAAAATATTGATCATGAAAAGTAAGTAAATTTTATATAATTTGTAATTTTAATTCTTTTTAAATTAATATATTTTTTTTATTTAGAAACAAAATTAATGTAAAAGAAGCAATTAAATATATTGCTCGTTCATGGAATGACGTTACGATAACAATAATACAAAATTACTGAAAAAAAACAGGAATTTTATCAGATTTAATAAATAATAGTAATTTTACTGAGGAACTATCTGAAGAAAATATTGAACTTACTAATCTTCTTTATGAGAAATCATCTGAAGAAAATACAGTATATCAAAAATTAATTAATGAAATAGAAACTTATATTAATACTATTGATGAACCTCTTTTAACTGAAGATATTCTTTCTGAATCTGAAATAATAACTATGGTAGTAGTAGATAATGAAATTGAAAATAATTTATTACCATATTCTGAAGAAGAAACAGAAGAATTACCTTTATCTCCTATTACTTCTAAAGAAGCATTGAATGCATTGAAAGTATACTTGCACGCAAAATTATTTTGAGGTCCCAAAATTATAATTTCAGAGAAAAAAGTTGAAATAGTTTTTTATAGAAGATGAAATTATTTTACTTAAAACCTGAAATTTTTTGACCACCCAGATTTATTCTTTGATTAAAGATACATATAACTAGGTACTTTTTTTACTTCCATATATAGAATAAATTTTGCATAAATCTCAAAAAGTCGAAATACCTCAAAAATCTAAAATCAATTTTGGGAACATGTATAATTGAAAGTTTTAATCAAATATGAAGAACAATTATCTAATAATGATGATTATAATAAAGTTTCATCTAATGATTTATGTAAAAGATTGTCATTATATGAGCGGAGATGTGAAAAAAATAAAAAACAAGTTTCATTTGAGCATATATGGATAAATTAATTTCTAATATTTGTAAATATTTTTTTTAAAATATAAAATAAATAATATATATTTTAATAAAAATAATATAAATTAATAAAATATTTTTATTTTTAATTATTACATAAAATTTTTTATAATCACTACTTATGTATTGGTGATAATATAGAGATCAAATTTTTATAATCATAATTTTCTATAATCACCAAATATGTTAGTCCCGATGGTGTGATTATAGAGAGGCTAGATTATATATATATTTTTTTCAAATATATTTACATATATCTATATTATTTAAATACATTTTTCAAATATATTTACATATATCCATATAATTCAAATTTATTTAAATTATATTTGTAACAAAATAAACTATTATATCAAGAAATTTTTAAGGACAAATATATATAGATTTATTTGTAATTAGTAAAAAAAATTATATTCAAATATATTTGTAAATTTATTTAAATATATTTAGCATAACATAAATTAATATAGATTAATGTAATTTATATAAACAAATATATAAGTAGTCAAATATATTTAAATATATTTGTCTATAAAAATTTCCAGGTATGACAATAAATTGTATAGTACGAAATGCTATTTTGTACTATACGATTTTATATAAATTTTACACAAAATTTGTACAATAATATATATATTATAAAAATCTAATTGTACTGTATAAACTTTTTATGTTAAAAAACTATATAGTACAAGTATTTTTATATTAAAAAGCCAAACAGTACTAAATATAAATTCAACACCTGTAATATATTATTATCTATTTATATCAAATTTAGGGATTAGGATTTGTATCACATGTAAATCAATTAGAGATATTACATTTTATTATTATTACCTTAACACATTTCAATATTCAATTTTTATTATATTTTTTTAGGACTTAGAATTTTTTTGGATCTAAAATATTATTCTTCACATTTATATATCATCCAGATAAAATTTCCCATGGTTAAAATTAATGAAAAATATCATATGATATTAGTTAATCAACTATACAAGCCACAAATAAATCATACAAGTCACTATTCATACAGTATAAATAGCATTTCATACTGTACAATTTATCTGTATACCTAAAATTTCCTAATACATAACATCAAGAAATTTAATTAGGCATAGATTTACAGAAATATCACATAATCTCCAGACATTTATACCTGAAAAATTTAATTTTTTTACTTTAGCCGAGATTTTGGTAACAGTAAGTGATTTTCTACTAAGATATTTCAAGATAGATCGAAAGTCCCAGTTTTTGGCTACAAGATAATATATGTTTCATTACTATAATATCAATATTCGTGAAGAAATTTATGTTTAAATTCAAATATCCATAAAAATTTATACCGTAATTTTTTTATAAATTTTCATAGATGTTTGAATTTGAATGTGAATTTCTTTGCGAATATCGATGCTATAATAATAAAACATATATCATCTTGTAGCCAAAAATCAGGGCTTTCGATCTATCTTAGAAATATCTTAGTAGAAAATCACTCCCTGTTACCAAAATCTTAACCAAAATTAAAAAATTAAATTTTTCAACATAAATTTCTGGAGGTTATATGATATTTCCATAAATCCATGCCTAATTAAATTTCCTGATGAATAAGTTAAAATATTTTGATATCTGAAAATTGAAATAATTTTTTATAGAAGATAACTTAAAACCAGAAATTCTTAACTACAGTATATACAAACTAAATCCAATCACAAAATTTAAAGCTCTACTATTATTTTAAAAATATTTTTTCAATTAAAATTTAATATTATTTGATAGAAAAAATATAACTGAATATAATAATAATTAATTTTTCTTTAAATTCAAAACATAAGAAAAGCTATAGGTATTTAAAATTTGTTATTTTTATTAATAATCAAAATTATTTTTACTAATTAAAAATTTATAAATATTATACCTTTGGATATCTGATAAGTAATAAATACACTGGTCAAAAATTGATAAATTATACACACATCAGGTACCCGATATGTGCATGGTACGTCCCTAATATTGGGTATATATCAGGTACATCAGGAAATTTTTTCTAGTGAAAACCTTCGAAAATTAACGTTAACGTAAGTATTTCGCTATTTTTCGATATATTATCCTTCGAAGGTCTTCGCTAACCTTCGAAGGTTATC